TTTCAATTTTGTGATGCGATAAATGAACTTTTTTGGCCAATTTTTCGCCAAAAATGGATCTAACACAACCGGTAAAGATAAAAATAGAAAAAATACGTTTCACCAAAAGCAGATCGCCGTATAAGTGTGTTAATACAGCAATATAAAAAATTATCCAATCTAATTTCGGATCTTAATTTTGATCTCGTGAAATTAAGATCCGAAATTTGATTGGACAATTTTTATATTGTCTTTATTTATTTTTATTAGCCAATCAGAGGATTTTTATCCATGCTGGCTCGAGTATACGCGTTATTTAGGGGGAAACTACGTGTTTAAGATTCTTGTATTTTTTTCTTGCACCTCAACAAAGCTATATTTTTACCAAGTTTTTTTATACCAGGACTTCCGAACAAAAATATTCCGGTTACGAAGAACTTACGTCATATTTGACGCGAAGCAGAGACAAATCTTTTTGGGGCTTTCTACACCGTTGTCGAGACACAATCGTCACCACCGCTTCAGCTACTTCTCGCAGACAGGTTCTCGAAAGCACCTGGGTCAGTAATTTCTTACTAGAAGCAAGAAAACTCGGTGAAGATTTAGAAGAAATGGTGTGTATTTTTTATTTTGCAAGGTTAGGGTAACTTCTAGCGTCTTTCGGGACGCCTAGGAGAATTACCGGGTATGACAACCTGGGTAACCAGCCCCAGGTTCTCTATTCGAGCACCCTAACTTTGTCTTTGGTAAAGGTCTGCTGATTCCGGAGGAAGAATCAATTATTTGTCTTCCTTTGGGCATGCCTTTTATCATCTGATTTCTCGGTCTTTCTCTCTCTCTCTCGCTCTCGCTTTCTCGCTCTCTCTCTTTCTATACTATAAATCATTTGATTTCTGGCATGCCTCACCACTAAATAAAGAATTACACACTGTTAACATAATAAATGTATTTCTTATAATAGGTTAGTGAAGATCGAAAACGTTATGATTTCGAGGATTATTGGAACGATGTAATTAATGAGTGTAAAATAGTAAGTAAACCATTTATTTTGTATTTATATATCAGCTTTAAACTTATTCTAGTTATTCTTCTGGAATTAGAGACGAGATATTTCAGAGCGTAAAGTAGAAAAAGAACGTATTCTTCATGATCTTTCGAGAATAAATGATGAGATAAAAATGAAAGAAGATGAGCTTACCAGAATTTTGAATAAACAGGAAATACACCCCAAAGATAGTTCAAATTTAGATGAAGATTTGGTTGCGCAATCGTCCTCTGCAATTGGGGTGTTCCACGCTAAATGATTTACAAACATAGTGCAGCATTATATGATTGGCCCACTATGTAAGATTTTTGAAA